CTGACTCAGAACCAATCCCCTACCATACCTCAATCCTGACTGGTGAGGGGTGGATGCTAGAGCTCCTGAATGGTCATCCAGACAGGATATGGACTGGCCTTGGTGTCAGCCATGGGGTTTTTGATCACCTGATGCAGGTGCTCACCCATCATGGTTTTGTGCCTTCTCACAATGGAATTTCTGTGGAGGAACAACTTGGGATATTCCTCTACACCTGTGTTACTGGGTTGTCATCCCAGCATGTTGCTGAGATGTTCCAACACTCACCAGGGACCATCACTAGGTAGGGAGTTCATTGGACTGTCTGATATTTTTCTCACAATTTTTTAGATATTTCAAAGCAATGTTGACCTTCTTTTCTGGGGGACAATTCTATGCATCCCAAGTGCAATTCCCCACCAACAACACTCCCACATCAACTATGATTACTAGTGACCCACACTTCCAATTTTTCCAGGATTGTATTGGTGCAGTTGATGGCACTCATATTCAAGCATTCACTGCTGCTGAGGACCAGCCTTACATGAGGAATCAGAAGGGCTACCTATCTCAAAACTGTCTCTTCATCTGTGATTTTGACTTCTTCTTCACATATGCCCTCACTGGCTTTGATGGGTCAACTGCAGATGCAACCATGTGGCATAATGCACACAGGAATGACTTGCACATGCCACCTGGGAAGTACCTTCTTGCAGATGCAGGGTTTGGGACCTGTGATGCACTTCTGGTTCCCTATTGAGGTGTTCATTACCATCTGAAAGAATGGCACCAGGCTGGATTAAGGTAAGTTGCTAGTCCATCCTGCTCAGTGTACCTGTAACTTCTATTTTATAGACCTCAAAACTGAGAGGAGTTATTCAACCTTTTCCATGCTGGACTTAGAAATGCCATTGAACAGATATTTGGTGTTATAAAATGCAGATGGAGGATTCTTCAAATTCCCCCTGAATATAGCATCCACACCCAAACTCAAGTACCTGCTGCTCTCTGTGCCCTCCACAATTTCATACAGCACTATGAGCCAGAAGAGTTCTTTGACCCTGAACTTGCCATGGACATAGGAGAGGAAGGAAGCTAGTCATAGTCATGTACATTTTATTATGTACATATTTGTATAAAGGGGGGGGGACTTGAAAAGATATGCAGGGGGGGGGTACATTTGTATATTGTAAAAAACAAAAAAACAAAAACAAACACCTATCTCTGCCCATCCCAGTACTTCATCAGCTGACACTGCACCCAAATCTGCTTTGCCAGCTCCTGATGCTTGAGGAAAATATTCACTTCATCTGGGGATGCACTGAGGAAGTAGTTGCCAATGTCGATCCAATCATCTGTCAAGAGCTGCAGCATGTTGTTGATGTAGTCCATGGCAGTGTCAACAAGGGGATTGGTAACAGGTGGCAGGGGCAATGGGGCAGTGATTGCATGCATGAAGTTATTGAGCCTGGAGGTGATGGCAGCAATGAATGAACTGCAATCTTCTTCAGCACACACTTTGGCTGATGGGGGCCAAGAGCACTTTGATCCACCTTCAGACATTGCAATGGACTTGGCTTTCCTTTTTCCACAACTGATGCTGGTGACAGCTGATGACAATGATGACCTGGCTGACACATGTGACAAAAAAAAACTTGATGGTGTGGAAGGGGGGATGAAGTTTGGATCCATGGACTGTGTGTCCTCATGACAGTGAGTGTTGAGAGCATACATCATGTCAAGGAGGGAGAGAGAGGGAGGGGAGGTAGGAATAGTTGAAGCAGTGGGGGGTGCAGTAGAGGCAGGAGTATCAAAGGCAGAGGTCATGGTTGTAGAAGGTGTGGCAGTGGTGTGTGGCTGGTAGATAAACTGACCTTGGCCATGCAAGGGGAAAAGGACCTCTATGCTGGCAAAGTGGGGGAACCCAGAATTGCAAAATGGCTTTGCATCTTTGTGCACCTGACTAGATGTTAGTGGATGATCTGACAAGAAAAAAACTACATTACCTTTACATACCAATCCCAAAGATCAGCATTGTCCAGCAAGACCATCGCACCATGCTCATTGTCATAAGCAAAGCCAGAGGCCACCAATTTAAGATTGGCGATGGCATAGTAGGATTTTTTAAGCTGGCTAATTGTTAGCAAGGCAAAAAAAAAAAAAAGAATGATATGACAACTTACCACCTTGAACTTCTGCTCACACAATTCAGCTGTCTTATCACCATTATCCAGACCCAGTGGATAATTATGAGCCATGTGGGCTGCTGTGGCATTCCATGTCACCTTCTTAAACTTCCCATCACTGGCCTGTGAAAGATGAGAGGCCAAGAAATCCAGTAACATGCCTTCCTCCTCTGTTGTCCATACTGCAGCTTTCTTGCAAGTCCTGGGGGGAGGCAGGGGGTTCCACAGGTCTAGAGGATTGATTGTAAGGCCATGCAAGTGCAACGAGTGGGTTGATCCCACAGATGAGCCAGACATTTGATGATTGCAGTAACTGGGTGACAATGGTTGCATACCTCAGGTGGATGCACATGATAGTTCACATCATGTGACCCTCTTTACCAAAGCTGAAGTCAAAAACTTGGACTTTGCATTTGCAGGGTGAATGGTGCCTAAAGAATTCAGACTAGTCTTCTTGGTGGAAGGAATATTAGCTCTTTTTAGAACTCATTTTCATGGGCTGTGCAAACCAGCCAGGCAACATTCAATCCATGGAGTTGAGTATACTAGTGGTGTGCACATGCATTTAAATTCTCCTCATCTCACAAATGTCCTCAGTGACAGATCCAGAAGCTGTCATCAACAAGTTTGTCAGCAACATACATCCAAATCTTGTCTCTTTCATGACAAATACTGCTTTCTCTGCCTCCCTGTTTACCCTCTTCATCATCCTTCTCAACTCTCCACCAAGGAGTCTCAACACTGTCTGGTATTCCAGCTGAATGTATTTGCTATCTGTCTCATCTTAATGATGGGCATATTGCTTGGCATCCAGTCTGGGAAGCTGATAGTCGATCCATTCAATCCACTGACAAAAAGTGTTATTACCATGGTAGTCATCTTCATTCTCTTCCCACCAATACTGTGTGACTCAATATTGTTAACTCACATCTTTGCACTCTATCCTGTCTCCAGTATGCCTCTGGCCACTCTACCGAAGATATTTACACTCCCCTTCTGTATCAAATGTGCCCAGGTGGTAGTTATCATGTGTTACCTTGTTGATATTTAAGTCCATGCATGGTGATTCTGCATACAGATTCTTTTTGTGGATGACAATTATAGGGGTATCACAATTGTGCCAGATCATTTGTTCTGCAATCCTAACTTGATCACTGAATGGACAATGCAAATAGTGGATAACATGTCAGTTGGTAAACCCTTGAGAATTCTGTCAAAAGCCTCAATTGTTTCTTTATCACTAGGTATTCCATTGGTCTCTTCCTTTACAACCTCTATGTTCACACAGGTTCAATAAAACACTGTGAGTACATTCTCCTATACATATGTCTTTGAAGGGGGACTGAACAACATGCATTTCCCAGTATACATCAGGTGGAAAGCCAGCCTGTGTCTGCCAAATCTTTTACATTTCTGCTGCCAATTTCATCCTCCCTCTCATCTTCAACATTGTCTTAATAGTCCTCTTTGTCACAACTGCTTGACACCTCATCGTGGATGCACTTCTATGGTACATCAACAGCTATGTGACTGTCATGGGTGTATTGTGCACCATGCTCTGGTTTTCGGGATCAGAGTGGGTTCAGACCCACAGTCAACTGTTATCTGGTGACATATTCTCATTCAAAATGAACTTGCAAACAGTACATGACAGGAAGTCTGAGAGTGAGATTGGAGCAGTGGACAAGTGGTCTTCCACACCTCACACTGCAGACTTGGATGCTGGGCCTGCAATGCATTGCAAGCAACCTGCTACACTGGTGGAGGAAGGGAAGTACTGTACCATGTGATCCCCAACCCTGCTGAAGCCAAAACTGCCTTACAATTTTATCCTGTTATGTATTTTCACCAGTGTACTGCCATACAACACCTATTGCAATGGTAGGTTACTATGTATATTGGGTTCTCTATAACATACCATGTATTAGAGATTGTTTATGACCAGTGCACTTGGCAGAATTGAAGGTGTTGCCCCCCAATCAGGGTGGATACAAAGGCTGCTTTATTCATGTTGGACCAGATGCCTCAGATTCCTGATGGATTTATCAAACATGTGCAGCAGATGCACACTTGACAGGTGTCCAAAGTTGCACTGTTATGTGTGTAGTGTTTCTTTCCATGATCAGCAATGGGTGTATCCTGCTGCACCAACACAGCTATGACACTCACCCTCATCCTTTGGCCACTAGTTTTAAACCTTTTTGCCCAATCTTCATCCTATTAGATTCTTGCCAATTGTTTGAAGTACATGTTTTCACATGCTCATCAGGAAAATAACACTTTACTATTTTTGACTTTTTGTGATTAATGTGACTTTTTGGGAAGGAATCTACTATCATTACCCATGTCCTGCAGGCATGGCTGCACTGTTCTTGCTGATTTTGGTCTTGTTCAAACCACCTAATTCATAGCTTTCAGTAGATACCACATACATTCAAATTGATGGAGGTTCCAAAGAGATATTGTGAGTTTTCTCTCAGACAGTGTGCATCACACCAATGGCTCAATATCTCTGAATTTTCAGACATTTCTTAGCTTAGATATATCATCACTTAGTTGTCTCAATAGATTCTGTTCTCTTTTCATTCTTCAAAATGCTGTATATGGTCAAAAAAAAAAGTACAGATAGTAGGTTCCTTCCCAAAAAGTCGCAAATAGTCACAATAGTCACAAAAAAAGTCAAAAAAAGTCACAAAAAGGTCAAAAATAGTAAAGTGTTAATTTCCTGATGTACTTGCTATATGTTTGTCTTACCGTTGGATGTATTGCTTGGCTTCCAATTTGGGAAGATCATACTTGATCCATTCAGTTGGCCGTCGCCGACCAGTGTTACTGCTGTGTCCGTCTTCATCGTCTTTGCGCCGTTGCTGTGCCACTCGATATTGTTAACTCGCCTCTCTGCACTCTACCCCGTCTCCGGTACACGACTGGTTACTTTGTTGAAGTTGTTTGCATTCCTCTTCTGCGTCAAATGTGCGAGTGGTAGTTCTCGTGCATTACTTAGTCGACATTTAAGCCCATGCATGGTGCCTCGGTACGCAGGCTCTTACCGTCACCGAGGACACTGCGCTCAACCACAACCCTCACCTGGTTGCTGCATTCACGATGCAGATCGCAGACTCGACCTCCGTGTCCGTATAAATTTGATGAACCGCTGTGGGCAGTATGTTTCCCTACACCTTGGCAGGCAGACTGAAACGAAGGGTATTTCTCGGCATGCAGAAGGCGCAATACCAGCCCATATCTACCGAATCTTTTACATTTCCGCCACCAATTTCGTTTTACTCCTCATCTTCAACATAGCAATCCTTATCATGATTAATGCTGCGAATATTCAGCTTGCCCTCGCCAACGCGCTGCTATGGTTGACCAACAGCTACGTATCTGTCATTGGTGTATCATGCGCAACGCTCCGGTTTTCAGGATCGGAGTGGCTTAGGGCTCGCAATGAACCATTATCTAGTGACATGTTCTCACCCAAATCGAACTTGCACAGGATGCGTGACTGGAACCGTGAGGGTGAAAAGGCAGTAGTTGGAAAGTGGTTTGCCACGCCTCACATGGCAGACTTGGGACGCTGGGCCTGCAACGCATTGCAAGCAACCCACCATACTGGCGGAAGAGGATGAATACCACACGGTGTGATCCCTAACCCCTCTGAAGTGAGAACCGCATTACAATTTCATCCTAGTTCTATTATGTGTTCTTACCAGTGTACTCGCATTACGACACCTCTTGAAATGGTGTGTTGCTTTGTATACTGGGCTCTCTGTAACACAATGTGTATAAGAGAATGCTTGTGACTGGCGTACGTGAAAATCGATGGTTGCTGAGCTCGTCACCCCCAATCAGGGGAGATGCAAACGCCGCTTTTTTCGTATTGGGCCGGACGCCCCGAATTCCTGGCAGCAACAGGAAGCTTGCTTGAAAGTCGACGGAAACGAGATATCGTACCAGAATTATCAAACACATGCAGCGGATGCGCACCTGACGGGGTGTCTGAAGTTGCACTGACCTGTATGCTGTGTTTCTATCCATGCTTAGCAATGTGTGGAGTTGTTGCGATGCTCACCTGCACCTTCTAGCGAATTATCAACCGTTTCGTGCTCCACCCAATGTCTTGTAACTTAGAGCTGTCAGAGGTGGCTCGTTGAGCTGCGAGATCAGGCTGGGTGGAGATGACAAGGTAAAGCCAGACGAGATTACGCATTATCATTCACCCAACCCCAAAATGATGGGAATTGTTTTCTCTAGCATTTTAAAGAAACGTACCCTCATAACATGAGCAGGATCACCTGTGGCATTTGATCTCGCAGACAGGGAAGGCGCTCACATCCACCTTTGCTAGATGAACATAGAGCATATACTTGTCTCTGGTAAAAAGGAAGGAGTCCAATTCTTGCGCTTCACTTATAATACCCAGCTCACACCTACCTGTACATACGCCATGCTCGTCCATCGTAGGATCTGGGTAGCACATCGTTGTAAACACAGTCTGTACAGCGCCCACTTATGGTGAGACGAAAACCAATTGTTGAGGCTCCCCTCGTCCGAGCAAGCTGCGGTCTACAAATGAACGACGGAACCAACCCTCGACGCCCACCATAACAGCCTTAAAGTATGCCTATGCCCGAGTCCTACCTGCCTGATATAAAGCTCGCCTGTGACCCCTGCGCCGTATTACCGACGCCGATATCTTAATACCGGTGAACACCGATGTTCGGGCTTTACATAGCTCCTCGGCGATCCTGGACAGCAATCAGTCAGTTTCCACGGCTGCTCAATGAGGTGGCAATCACAAGCTATTAATCCAGCATCAGCTCGTCCATACGCGGGCTATCAATACCATGCGTACACGAGCCAAAACAATTTTTCCATCTCATTGTTAGCCTCCGAGTTCCACATATTCGCATTCCGCTTAGCGACACAGTGTACCCGGCTCCAGGAGCACCACGTCTTCCCGTAATATCCGTGTGCATTTTTTCGCTGTTTACCATCATGAGTAGCTTTAGGATTGAATGTTGGAGTTTCATGAAGCACGTAATACAGTGCAGATATCTTGTTCGGATACTGGTGCTTCCTTTGTACGCAATATCTGGTCTTGTAATGCTTCCGCCTCATATTGATGGTATCTTACCATCAAATCCCCTTAATTTCATTGACGCGTTGTGGCCCCAAACCTTTTTAGCATTTTCCGCACAGCTGCCTTGTAGCAACTCGAACTTGAGCAAGTCTTCCTATTGCTTCAGTTCTACGACCATTATTACCGACTATAGTAAGACGGGAACGCACGGCCCATGGCATGGCAAAGCATTCGTTAGTCATGGCCTTCGGGAAAGAAGATCAATGTTTGTGACATCCTGTGGCCTTCGATACTGCCTCCCGCCGATGATCTTAGTCATTCAGCCAGTTTTCCACCTGCTATAGATTAACTCTTCCACAGGTAACGTAATGTCATCCGGTACATTAAGGGCAAGTATATCATGGGTGAGGTACGCAAACAGGCGCCCTCCATTCGCCTCCGTCTCACAAATGTCCTCGGTGACAGGTGCGGAATCCACCATCAATGCATTCGTCGAGGCCATACATCCAAGTTTCGACTACCTCCTCTCGTGCACTGCGTTCTCCGCGTGTCTGTTTACTCTCCTTGTGGTCCTTTTTGCCTTCTCCACGCACGAGTCTCGACGTCGCGCGGTATTCCGACTGAACGTATTCGCTATCTGTCTCACCCTGACGCTGGGCATCTTGACTGGCTTGTCCAATGGCAAGGCAATAACCGACCCATTTCATCAGGTGCCGAAAGGCGTCTATATTGCTACAGCTGCTTTCTCCCTCATCCCACCGCTACTGTATGACTCGATACTGTTATCTCGACTCTTTGCACTTTATCCCGTCTCCACCACGCCTCGGGCCACCCTACTGAAAATATTCGCATTCCCATTCTGCATTAAATGTGCTCGAGTGGTTGTTATCGTACGTTTTCTGCCAACATTTAGGTTCATTGCCTGTGATGCTTTATGCAGGCCCTTGGGCTCTCTGATTTTGTTAGGTCCGGGATGAACACCAGCGAGCTCGTCCAGGATGAGCTTGCCACGTGGTTCCGAAATCCTAAACCAATTGCTGAATGGTCAATGCAAGTGGCAGACAACTTGTGAGTTGATTTCGAAGAGATCTATTGAAGGACTTAATTCTTTCGTTCGGAAAGCTATTCCGTCAGCCTCTTCCTCTACAACCTGCATGTCCGTACATCGCCAGTAAATAGAGGTAAGCGCCCATCTTGCATCTTCATTGGCGGGCGAACTAAACGACTCACGCGTTTCCCGACATATAGGTACAACCTGCCTAGCGGATCGTATCCGCCATATATTCTACATCTCCGTGGCCAATTTCGTCTTTCCTCTCATCTTCAACATCGCGCAAATCGTCTCGGTAGCGACTGATCATTCCCCCACTACCGGCGCCGTGCTAGTATTGATCAACAACTACGTTACGGTCATGGGTGTACTATGTGCCACACTGTGGTTCTCAGGAACGGAGTGGGTTCGAGCCCACAACCAATCATCAAGTAATGACATGTTCTTACTCAATGCAAGGCTGGGTAGGTTACATGGTGGTAGTGGGAAGAGCGGGGACGAAATTCTAGTAATCGGAGGGGGGTCTGTTATTCCTGACGTGACAGACTCAGATGCTAGGCCAACGAAGGATTCCAATCAGCATACTACCCTAGTGCAGGAGGAGAATTATAATTTAGCGTGAATCTATCACGCTCGCACAGTCCATCAGCGAATACTACTCCGTTACAACTCGATCATACCACGTTTTCCTGTCCAGTAATAGGCCATTCACCGACAACAATTCCGGAAACCACGGGTTACGACGATCTGACAGACTCTGTGTCTATGTGGTTATTTGTGACAGTGCGCGTGGGTTGCACTGATACTTAGTCCCGAAGGTCATCATCTCACGCTTGTTTCTGGATCTGCAGAGGCGCGCATCCGACGGTATCAGGATGCCTGTATCTTTGCCTGAGCACGCTGGAATCCACGCACCGATTGGATCCCTCTCAAAACGTTTTGACGCTCCAACCAATTTCAGGACTTATGCAGAGTGCCAGTACTAGGTTAGTAGATATCAAACACTGAAAAATCGTTGCTTGTCAACCCGAGGCATGTCCGAGTTGCAAAAGCCTGTACCTCGCCAACTCGTCGACTAGAAGATCATGCCTGTCAAATTGATCACAGTATTGCGATGTCACCTCGGTCTGTTTCAAGCTAAGTTTGGAATGAGCACGTTTCGTCCGTGTCGATCATTTGTTCCTGAAAACTCTCAAGTACCGGAACTATCTGTTATGCCTGAAACCACATCATCCTGTCCGATCGATCAGGACGTTTTGACGTGACGCCGCAAGCAGCGCTCTCAGATAGGGAGCAGATCATGGTGTGATGCTGCGCCTTGAAAGCAAGTATCGTTTTGAGGACATAGCCAAATAAAACCAAACTCATACTCGAACTGACACAACTCCGTATAGTTCATGCACATGCAACGCATCACGCTCTAATAGTGTGTTTCATGCACCCAGCATCTCGAACTGATGAAATGCCTCCCCCTCTCGTGAACGATGTCCCTCTCACTTCCCGATTGGTCCCTTATTTTTTTTTCTTGCCAATTGATTCTGATATGACACACGCAAGCGGCGAGTAGCGAGAAATTCATATTTGTATCGTCATCGATACCACAACTGAGCTCAGCGGTTTCGGCCCAGTCTTTTTTTATGGAAGGGGTATTGATGGTGTTTCCTTTGGCAGGTATATCATACGTCCATGTATGCAGTCAGGTGCCTCCGTGTCACCAATGCCCTCAGTAAAAGGTACAGAGGCCGTAAGCGCGTTCGTCGTCGCCATACGTCCGAGTTTCAACTATATCCTTGCAAGCACCGCGTTGTCTGCATGTTTGTTTACCCTCCTTGTGGCCCTTTTCGTGTTCTCCACGAGGGAGTCTCGGCGCCGCGTGGCATTCCGATTGAATATATTCGCTATCTGTCTCGCCCTGACACTGGGAACACTGATTGGACTAGCCTGTGGGAAGGTGATAATCGACCCGTTCAATCATGCGTGGAAGCAGTACTATGTTGTTGCCATCACCTTTGCTCTCTGGTGTCCATTACTTTACGACTCGATATTGCTGACTCGGCTTGTTGTACTCTACCCCATCACCAGCACTGCTCCGGTCACACTGGTGAAGATATTTGCATTCCCATTTTGTGTCAAATGTGCTCGAGTGGTAGTCCTAGTGCGTTTCTTCGTCGTTGATCAGGTCCATTGCCGGTGACACATTGTACAGGCTCTTTTCCTCGACGACTATATTAAGTCTGAAAATATCACTAAGGGTCCTTTTGTCCCGGAGCAAGACGCTAGCTGGTATCGTAATCCTAAAATCGTCGCCGAATGGATAATACAGATGGCAGACAACCTGTGAGTTGACGGCCCTCCGTGCGGTCCACTGGGTAGCTCAGCTGTCACATTTTCGAAAGATACACCGTCGGCCTCTTCCTTTACAAACTCCACGTCCGTACATCATTGATACAAAAGGGTGAGTGCCGCCTCCCTGGTTCCTCGGAAACGAGCAAAATAACTTGCGTGTTTCCCAATATGCAGTCGGCGGTATATCAGAGCATTTCCGCCAAATATTTTATATCTCTGTGGCAAATTTCGTCTTCCCTCTCCTTTTCAACATTGCACAAATCATCTTGATCATGACGGACAGACACCCCACTGCCGGCATAGTGATAGTTGTGATCAACAACTACATAGCTGTCATGGGTGTATTGTGCGCGACGCTGTGGTTCTCTGGATCAGAGTGGGTTCGCACTCACAGCCAACCAACATCTGGTCGCGGGTTCTCGTGCAAGCCGAATTCGGAACATATGCGTGGCTCGCTTGGGGAGGGTGGGAGCCAAGTTCTAGTAATTGGCAAGAGTTTTAGTACGCTTGACGCGGCGAGTTTGGACGCTGGTCCAGCGAGGGATTCCAGGCAAGTCACTATCCCAGGCAGAAAGGACAACCACACGTTGGGATGATTTTTAAACATACCGGCTACGCGTTTCCACCACTTCAGCATCGCGGCACGTTGCGATTCTGGCCCGAAATTTGTTTAACTGTCCGGATTCCGCACCTGTAACCGACTCCCATACCACACTTCCTGAGATACGACAGCTTCCCAGCATTATATATGTACTTGTACCAGCCAAACCACTTCATGAATTTGTGTACTATGAGAAAGATCTGCGGCGGGATGTTATTATTTGCCAATGTTTGCGTCGACTGTACAGTTTGGTTCAGCCACCCTCGCTCGCTGAGGACACTCGTCCATACTTGCACGAACGCCGTGAGCGACGAACCCAAAATGTCTTCCGATCTCCAGTGGCTCCTTCTCCGCGTTAGTGAGCCTTGATGAATTGGTTTATCAGCAGGTCCTGACAGAGGTCCCCAATCATGCAGAATTACAACTCTTTCATGGTAAAGAGGGGTCCTGAAGGAAAGACCTTCTCCACTGAGCACGTCCGTGATCTCCGCGTAGCTCTTTCGGTTATACATCTTACTAATGACTGGGCAGGGTAACCTCCGGAATCTCCATTCACACAAATTCTCTGGCCTTTCAAATGCCAAGGCAAGCCCCTTCACTGCCATTTCTCACGAGATGCTGAATGTTGTCTTCGTATAGACTATCGATATCAAGGACTCGGGTTCAGGCATCCAGATTACTACCCGGAAGTCTAAAGTCTCCCCTCACGCTGTTCGCTCAGCTCGGACTACCTTGACGATCCGCAACCGGTCAGGACCCCGGCGCGCGTTCGGCGTCGTTGCCGGTCTTGCGAAGCGGGGATACCGCCCTGACTTGCGGACAGTGAGTCGTTACTCCATTCAATTCCATTGTTTTTCGTGTATACATCTTGTGGGATTCGCTTTATGGAACGAACGCACTCTCGTTAGAACCCGCTGGATACACCTATAATGGTGCTAAGGAAGGCCGGGCGTGGACATGTTTGCAAGATTAATATAGCTTATCGCCACTATGCTTTTATCCTCCAGAGTTTTACTGAAGGTGGCGCGAATGACGCTAACATTTTTTTAATTACTCGATTACTGCCTGGGGAAGAACGCTCACTGACTCATCTCCCCTTGCTAGGCTGCACTTGCCCGCACTTCTGCTCTCATTGCCGCTCAAAACGAGAAGAAGCCTGCACTACCGAAGAAGCTCCGGGGCAGGAAGGCCGCTGCACGATCTTAATCGCGTGTATTTCTAGTGTTCTGCATTGCTTGGTTATGCTTAGTCGTAACGGATTGCTCTCCTTATTCTCGTATCACGAGGATGTGATGATCTTTCAGGATATCAGTGTCGAAAGTACGCATACAGGTATAATCCTTGAGGCAGTCTGTAACATTATACGACTCGTACTATCAGCGAAGACATCGCCCTTCCTAGCTTACACAATGAGCCCTTTGGACATGGGTTGTCCAATTCTGCCAGCAGCTCCAAACCCATGCTTACTGGCCACACTATCTCTGGTGGGCTGAATGGCGTCGAGTTTTTTGTTGGGGTTCTCCTTAAACTGTTTGTCGTCCCGCGCCCGGTGGCCCTGCTTCTTTTGCTTCTTCGGAGCTTCATCCTCTTTCTGAGGTGCTCTGTCGGTCTCGTGAGCAGTTGGGCGAGGGTAGTCAGGATTCTCGGTTCCATTAGAACTCGGATTCGTGGAGTTTCCACCACTGCAAGGTGATTAACCCAGACATCCATATGCCAAGCAACTCCATATCTCACGGGATAGTGTGAGCCTTGTATTTGTTGTTACCGACGGAGAGGCGCCGACCTCCGACTTTGACTGTTAAGATAGGGGTGTAAGCTGATACAACAGGGACAGCGGTGAGACGCACTTGCGGGGGGATGCTGCGCGAGTAGAGTTTCAGACATGGTAGATAACAAGAAGGGGCTGGCATTGGTTGGGGGCCTCGCTATCGCTTTTATATCAAAGTCTGTTGCGCCCAGTTACAGTTTTGACTTGCACGTGAACGGTCAGTTGACGTTTGACCTTTTCCGGAGTCATCGTCATTTATACAACTCACAAAAGCCGCAGGTCCGAGCGTTGCATGTGGAGTAGTATGCGCGACCCTACAGCTACCACGAAACTCGAGGGGAATGATGGGATTCCATTTAAAGTGGGTGGAAACCCAGCAACACCCTCCAGTCACCATCCTTCCCGTCGATCTCTGCATTTTCGGCCCTCATCTTACAGTCCATCTCCTACAAACGCACGACCATGCTGGGGGTGAATAAAGTGCATAAAGCAGCAGCCAGAGCCGTTGCCGAGTTCACCTGCGATCTAATTCAATCACGACTTGGTTTGAGCAGGATGTTTGTTCAGGTCTGCACTCTGACAACACACAATTCGAATCACACGTAGTGCCTACGCAGCAAAAGAAGCACGAGGCACATCAGGTACATATATAACTTCCTCGCCGCCGTCCTGGGGAAGCGTTTCCGTGAATGTCGGGTAGAAATGTTTGGCACCATTACCCAAGGTTTGGGACTCTACAGCAGGTAGGTATAGCCTGTCGCTATCTGTTGGTCGACTCTGAGGTGCCCGATAGCGATAAAGATGTTGCTTTTCGATGCCGGAGAAGATAGATCACAAGGTCTTGTTCCAAATAGCCTAAAAGTTAAACTAGGTAGGGCTCGTAGAAGCTACTCAAATTCAGGTGTGGAACCACGCTCGAGTCCCGATTGTCAGTGTTCAAACAAAACCTGAATTTGGTGCGTTATACTTCGGCATCCTTGTAATACGGGTGTATCACTTACACAGATTGGGATCACTGCGGTTCGACACTGTCGTTAACAATATCGGCGGCACGAAGGTGACCCCAAGAATATTTGAAAGAAATGCCCGCATTGAGACCACTGTTAATGACCGTCAAGGTCTTCTCTCTCAGCACGACCTGAATTCAGCTGCAACTGGGGGCTCCAGTGGCTATGTGCTTACGTGCGTGGTCATACATTTCTTGCAGGTGCCGTTGATATTGATTTCGGGTGCATACTTTGTGCTAAGTCGCGACTTCCTCTTAATGCAGCCCAATCCGTGTGGTCGCCCACAGGCATGGATAGACGGCCCGATAGGCAGCGAAAGATTTGGGTTTTCTGCTACTGGATTTTATGTGTCCAAGTTCCCGTATGAAACACATTACTCACATTTCTGTCAAGGGTGGGAAGCTTCTTCCGAAAGCGGATGTATTGTGGGTATCGCAGATCTGCTACCGCCAACTTCGCGTGGAACGCCTCACAACGGAAGGTGAGTTGCACAGAGCTCCTCAACTGTTTCATTACCTTACGAGTGTCGTAGGAGTCAATATAGCAAGGGCCTTGAAAAAAAACTGAAACCCTCAAAGCTGCGTTTTGTGAGGGACTTGCACAACTTCGAAATCTGATGGAAGCAAGTCTGAAGACGGCTTTGGAGGAAGGCACATCTTTAGAAGGATTGTCTTCCCGAAACCTCAGCCTTAGCAGTATCAACTATCTGGACAAAATCATAATAACCGTGTATGAGTTAAGTGGATAGCTGGAACCGTACAACCGGTGCAAGACCATGAGCAGAGACCGGGCGTTCACGAACTGGTATCCAATGACCTAACCCTAAACATCAAGAGGTTCAAGGAGAGTGGGGTGGGGTAGCTAAACCATAGGTTGAATCGATCCTGCGGTACACTATAGAGTGAGGGTTGGTGGATATTGCTTCTCGGGGAACCAGAAAGGCCATTTCCTTGTAATACACATTCGAGTTTCCTTATTCTTCTGGTCTTACGTGCTTCCTGCATTGCATGCCAACCGATCTGTCTTAGTAATTCACTATCGGAGAAGTAAACAGAAGTGAGGTCATGGAGTGTTTTGGCATATGTCCATAGCATGGAAGGACATCGTGATGTAGGAAATGACATACAACCTAATATAAGTAATAGTGAAGCGTTTACTCTTCCTCCTCCTCGTCTCCACCCTCTTCCCTCTTGGCTGCGGCAGCAGCGCGCTTGCGCTTGACGCGACCAGGACGTCCACCTCCGTATGGCGAGGTGAGGGCGAAGTCAATGTGTTTCTGTGAATCCAGACGGACCACAAACGATGGCACATTAACGATTTGCTTTCCAACACTGAGAGGAATGAGTGCTCAGCCATTGGCGTATCATTTGCTCTGACTTACCGAATGTGGCGTTGCCTGATGAGCACACGGGCGTGATGAATACTCTTTGCAAGGTTAGTCTTGAACACCTGAGTTTGCAGCCGACGTTCCAAGAAATCTTCGACCTTCAATGCCAACACGTAATCAAGCCGCATGCGAGTCTCGTCGAGGACACCAATCCGGACAAGACGACGGATGAGGGCGTTACCCTCGAAAAGTCGCTTAGGGTCTTTGTCTTCGAGCTTGAGGAGCTCACGAGCAGCACGACGAATTTTCGAAAGGACGAGACCGATACGCCAGATTTCACGTTTGTTGCGAAGGCCGTACTCGCCAGCAAGCTAAATGAGCGTAGAAATAAACATCTTCAGCGCTTTTGTATCTCCCCAGATCATATGAGATTTACGGTACCTTGAGCTCAGCATCGAGACGGGAAGACTCGAATGGTCGACGAGGGACCTTGTAGCTGGATAATTACCACAGAGAATAGCAAGACTCCATCAGCACCCAGAAACCCCCACACAGACTTCCGTATAAATCCCAAAAGAACGAGATGGCTCACGTTTTGTTATGATTCCGTGGTGCTCTACAAGCATATCAGATCCATCCTGCAACAAGCGGCATGAACAGGACTGTACCTTGGCATTTTTCTTGAGGATAGACGTCGCCTTGACGGGATTCAGCTGTCCACGGTTGGGTAACCAAATTAGGTGGGACAACAGACGAGCAGCCACAACTGTACAGTTGCACTGAAGCCACTCGGAGATAACCGAGTCAACTCTTTGGCCTCAAGCTCAAGCCTGACATTCTCGACGTCGATACCGACACTAACGATGTAAGTATCATTTGTGGCCTTCGGTGGGGCCGCTTCGTTGATCAGACTTTGGAGCAGACATCAAGATGCCGCACTCGTTTGGTTACCGCGCGCGCACGCGCGACATGTTCAAGCGGGGCTTCAAAGGTAATAACTTCATGTTTCTCGTTTCGCAGGACCGACGCTAATACAAGTTTGCAACACCTAGACCATGGCCCAATTAAACTTTCGACCTACTTGGTCAACTATCGTGTCGGTGACATCGTGGACATCAAGGCCAACGCTGCACAACAAAAGGGTATGCCCCATAAGTACTACCATGGGTTCGTTCGTCTTAGCTGTTATTGTTTTTCCCGTCCTATGCTGACTACTGGCGAACAGACGAACAGGCATTGTCTACAACGTCACCCCACATGCCGTCGGCGTGATCGTTTACAAGGTGGTGGGGAATCGCTACATCGAAAAGCGTGTTAACCTCCGGGTCGAGCACGTCAAGCACTCGAAGTGCCGACAAGAATTTCTGGATCGTGTGAAGCGGAATCACGAGGCACACGTTGAAGCCAAGGAGAAGGGCGGTATGTGTCCGTTGTTTTAGTGTCTATCTTTTATAATTAATGCCGTTCTCCCAAAAGAACGTGTGTGCCTCAAGCGCATTCCCGCAGCCCCTCGTGAAGCACATATCGTTTCGGTTGCCGACAACGCTCCACAAACGATGGCACCAGTAGCGTACGAAACTAAGATTTAATCGCGCTGCGTGTATTTGTCTACTGTTCCATCGTCTATGCTATCACTGCATATTGTTACTACCATGTGCCCATGCAATCATGACTCGACATGCTGCGCAAACACCGTTGTTCGTGCGATAGCGTGATTCTTGTCTAAGTCAGTGGACAGTGAGATAATTGATCCATCAAGACTAAATAACCTGGGAGATTGTTTTGACTGCTTGAAATGATGAATTTTCAGGTATGCACATCCTCAAAGTAATTTACCTCTTAAGATAGCAAACAAAGGCTTATTCATGTGTCAAGTCAGTGAATATATGAAGTACTTTCAATGAGGCTAAGTTCTGACCAAGTACCAACCCTTGACATACAGTGACTCAAGAACTGTCCAGATGTTTGCACTTTTTCAAAGATTGGCTTGTAATTCAGTCCATATTAATCCCCAAGAGAAAATAGGGGTAGATGGCCAGGGCCCACATGACCATGTTTGGTTATGATCATGTGACTTGATACTGCACAATGAATCCACACCACTACCTACACATCTGGTCAGTTTTTTTTGGCAGGGTATTCAAATAACAATGGGTATTGTATATTTAATACTTTGTGTAGCCACCCTTGCCCCCAAGCACTACTGAAACCCTCCTAGGTATACCATTGATCAAATTACAGCTGTTTGCAAAATGATGTGGAAAATCTGTTTGATGATTAGTCTGTTCAGATATAGCTGGGATAGGACCCCAAAACCACCTCTATGGTAACATTGTGTACTGTAAGCACATACTTAGACTTTGTCCCTATGGCAGACTTGTTTTTCAACATGTCATTGCTGTCACAATCCCCCACTCCTGATGCAGAAAAATTACATTCTTTCATGATTTTGCTTTCTGTCTATGGACCCAAGAAAAAGGAGAAGGGAAAGACCACACCAAAAGCAACCATGAAGACAAAAGAGCTTACTTTTGCTGTTAACAATACTAACTACCTCAATTTTCTACAACATGTACTGGACAAGCATGGTCTAGGACAATATAGGGTCTCAAGCAGTAAACATTTTCCATTCAAGTTTGTACTGCCCAAAGCACAGAGGTAAGTCATTTCTCACTCTGTAAATCTGTGTTAACCATGCTTTACCTTAGCCAAGCCATCAGTAATGCAATTGATGTTGATAATGAAGTCGACTACAAGGACATGGTCAAGAGGATTTGTAGCATTCACACTGGCCCAATGAAGATCTATGTCAATATGAAACATGTGGAGAAACTTCCAACTATCAATGGCTCTGGAGATGAAAGCAATTCATCTGGTGAGGATAGTGGAAAGCAGAAACATTCAGACCTTGATATGCACCTTGCCTGGTGGCACATGAAAGTCCTGAGCCACTACAAGAATGAGAATGATGAAGGAATGACTTACATTGGGCCAGTGGGGCCAATACCCCTTTCACCTGCCATGATACTGGACTGGTGCCATGCATTGGTAAGTCCTTTGCTACTCACAAACATTCTATCCCTAAACTATCTGTAGGATGAAGGGCAAGCTGCATTGTCATTTCCCCCAAACCTTGAGTCTTTCAATTGGAGCAACAAAGTGCTGTTTTTGCATCCAGCCTGCAAAGTGCAAGCCCAGGTGTTGCAAAACATTGATATCAACTCTATTACTGGTGTTCTCCTTCTCCAGATGCTTGCAAACTCCAGCCTCCTGTCACCCAGTGTATCTAGACCCCCTCAGCCCACCTTTACCCCCACTTCTCCAGTTCTGCCTCCTGTGACACCCACATGTGTGCCACAGGATCCTCCCATTTCACCACCTGTCCCATCTCCTTCTCATCTCTCCTGATTTCTTCACTATGCTGAAATGAACCTTAGTGCTTGCAATGCCACCCTCTGTGAACAGGAACTTGAACCCCAGTTGATCAGGCCTGACATCCTCATGGATATCAATAACCAGACACTCACTAGGGCTGGTATTGTCACTGGTGACATCATTTGTCTCAAGAAGGGAAGTGTTATGCCCAAGCAGAGTGACTTTGTCAAATAGACTAGGCATGATGCATGTGAGGGGGATACTCTGGGCCAAACTTGTCATAACCCCTATGGCTCAGTTATTGTGATAGCCCAACAGAGGTTCACTCCTTCTGGTGAGTTCTTCTGAGATCACATGGAGGAGGGAATGAGGGCAAAAGCAAAGGGGTGAAGCTGAGTTGCAAGTAATCAAAAAACTGAGGATACATGGTGTTGGAGTTTATCACCTTTACCTTAGTTGTGGTTCACCAAGCACAGCATTACATAATCCAAAAGCGGACACTTAGCAGTTTATTTTTTCCTTACTGCACCTCAGCTTCAACCAACTTGAAGTCTGAGTATATTCCTCTCCATAGACTTGACAATCCTGCAGCTCGTCATCCTCCAAAACATGGTAAAGTACATGAGTTTATATACTCCTAAGTATGAGTACTGTACCAGTCACGACAGGACACATCACAACATGTATCCACAGTAATCAATGATACAATCAGTCAAATAGATAAATCAGAACAAGTCATATGGTGTCATATGATGGGGGTAGACAAGGAAATGAAGGCTATACTAGCTGCACAATCAATGCACAGCAAGGAGCCTGACACTGGAGCAAGAAGGAAACATATAAGCAATATAAATGAGTCAGAGAGGAGAAACATAACAAGTTGTCCATCAGAGAGGGCAGTGGAACACTGGATCAGATGGGAGGCACAGTGTTGACAGGTATTGGAAATACACTGCTGATGGGAGATCCAGAAGAGCCTTGCAGCAGGCAAGCCCCCAAGATGGCAATGCTTATGAGAGATGTGATAAGGCACATGATGCATGTGACTGCAAGAAGTTGAAAAAGGAAAGACCCCTGACATGGGCATAACATCACCCCCCCTCTAAGATCTTCAGACCCTTGAGGATGGGCCTGGTGCATTAGTGGGGCATGCAGAAAGGGGTCAGCAAGTAGTATAGACATGGGAACGAGTGTGAGAGGTGATGGGTGATGGTGGCAATGGAGATGATGGTTCCTTGAGGGCTGGAGTATAGTGGGAGCCACATCTGTTGCAGCATGACCAATGTCCCAGGTAACAACACTGGTAACAGGTGTGCTGGTACAGGGGGTGGTCAGTGGGGACAGGGGACTGCCCTCTGAGGTAAAACCAAAGTTGATCTGCAGGTACAGGGATGAAGGGAGCTGAAGGGAGAGGGTCAGTGGAGTGGATGGCATTATGATAGTGTTTGTGGAGACCATTCCACATGGCATCCTGAAGCAAGACCTCCCAGGCCAAGTTGTGAGTCCCAGTACCAAGGTGAGCACCAACCTCTTTATACAAGGTTGCTCTGTTGACATAAGTCAACTCTAGTGCATGCCACATCTTTTCATTCTCCTGATCTGTGACAACTGGCTTCTCCTCTTTCCATCCTGAAGCTGATGATTCCTCTTGCTTTGGCCAGATACAATCAAGAAGTTGAGAGTGGGTGGCACAAGGAACTTGCTGATCTGTTGGTGAAGAAGATGATGGTAGGCCCCACCTGTAACGGCTTCTAAAACCTCTGAAGAGCCTCTTTCCAGCATGTTAATCATAATGACTTTGGAGAGTGGCATCATACCATTTAGTTTTCGGGTGCATATTTTGGAGACAGCATGGTTAATTATGTCTGTCACTCTGTAGACTTCAGACAACAGCCCAAAATACTTAACCTGTTCTGGTGTGCACCCATCAATGTCATCCCTGCTGTTGAAGACATCAAGCACCCTAACAACATCCAAGTAGTCACTTGCTGAGACTGGTAGTTGAGGCTTGTCATTCCTGGCAAGGGCTGCCAAGGTGAGGAGGTTGAGTGTGGCATGGTGTGCTCCATCAGAGTAGGTGGAGAAGGTGGAGCATATGTTGGAAGGTTGGGGAGCATGGGTACCACTGCCAGAGGTTGGTCTGTTATTGGAGTCATTGTCAACTCATGCCTTACCCTTTCCCATTCCCTGCTGGTTACTGTCCCTGACTGGGGGGACTCTGGCCTTGGGGGTGGGGGCCCTCTTAATTGAGAAGGACACATGTGGATGCAGTCAGAGAGGGCAGGCAACAGGGGGCAATGTTGCATGAGGCTGCAAGATGGGGGATGAGGGGAACAAGTCAGGAAAGCTGGAAGTGGTTGCTGGAGGTGAGGTTGGGGCATAGACAGTGATGGGCAGGATGAAGAGGTCATCCCTGTTGGTTGTGGGGTCATAAAGGGATTCTGCAAGGGGGAGATTGGCATAGTCATTCTCGGTGTTGACTGAGTGAGGGGAATTCATCAGTTTTGAAGATGATGGGCAAGCTTGTACTGGTCAAGGGCCTCTGAAGCATGGTCCTTTATATGTTCTTCAGGCTCCCAAGTATTTGATGAATGGGGGAACCCTTTCCATTTAACCAAATACTTTCATTTCCCTCTGTGCCCATCTATTTTGTGGTTAATTATTGACTCGACCTCCCATTCAATTTCATCATCCACAAGTTCAGGCAGTTGTGCTGCAGGCACAGCCCCATAGGTGTCATTTTCATTGAAAGGAAAGATCTGAGAGGCATGAAAGACTGGGTGAACCTTCCAAGTTGGCAGGAGGTCCAATTGGAAGGTGACTGGGGAGATGACCTGAGTCACCTTGAAGGACCCAAGATGTTGGGGCACAATCTTGTCACACTGGTTTTTGATTTGGAGATGTCCAGTATCAAGGAGAACCTGATCTCTGACCTTTGGCAGCACATAAGACCCTTTTGAGTGTGAATGCATCAAGTCCTGTGCTTTCTTGTGCACAAGGATGGTGACATTGTGGCTTGAGGCCAGCCTTTCCAGCCTTTCATTGACTGAGGGTACCATGGTAAGGCACTTTTCTGGATAGGGGGATGGGTCATACCCGAGGAGTAGTGGAAACAGCATCATTTGATGAATGGAGTGGATCTGGGAGTTGTGGGCAAATCCTGCAGACAGGAGCTTGGCAGCCCACAAATTTGGCACTTCAGCACAGTACAGCCAAAGGTACCCCTCCACTTCTTGACTAACATGTTCACTTTCCCTGTTAGTCTGTGGGTGATAACCCATCGAGAGTTTGGGAGTTACCCCTATTGCTTTGTAC